TGGCGATACTCTTGTGCTTCTGGGGAGTACTGTATGAAGCAACCATCATGCACCAGGTCGCGTGTTGCAGATAGGTGCACACGAGCGAATGTTGACGCTGGTTGTTTCCTGGTGCCCATCCCGCAACTGGAAGGCTTCAGAGCGTTTCTGAAATTTTGAGGCAGTCAAAGAGTCTGGATCAATGGGCCTCTGAGATCCTCTGAGCTTGCAGATGAAGTCATTAAAAGAACATGCGCAGGTCTTGCATCCTCTGCAACTTCGTTCGTAGGCAGGGTCTAACTCCGAGAAAACCAGTTCGCTTTCCGATTCCTCCATCGCAGTGTTCCTCGACCTGTCACTTTCTCTCCTCTGAAAACTTCATGCTCAAAGTTTACTGCAGAGAGAATGATTTCCGAAGTCGATATCCGAGTGACATGTAATTGGAAACCGAACGAGAAACAAGCGTTTCTGATACCCGTGATGGAACCGAACGAGAAACAAGCATTTCTGATACCCGTGATGGATACGACTCAAGGCAAGAATAATCATGCTGTCGACATCTGTCGCCCCGAAAACGCGTTTTCAGGGAGCTCCTGTGGAGATTTCAACTGTGCACAGTTCGATTTTCAGCTTGTTCCTTAACCCAAGTTTCCGTAGGACAGTTGCACCTTCCACGAAGCCAAACTTCCACACACCTACGTAGCTACTTGCATCACGTAACACATATGGAAAGGAAGTGCAAAGGTAAGGTCCACACCCGCCGCCCACACTGCAAGCAGCGAATAAACAGTGCCCATCTTTCCTTGCAGGATATTCTTGGCCGTCCTATCCACCAGCAGACATACTGCCCCCGGGTTACAAAGACAGGCTCGTGTTGGAGGATGTAGCAGAAGAAGCCATCAGCGTCGGCGCGGGAAGCAAACCCAGGGAGCCCTGAGCTTCGAGCTGCCATTTTGCACAGGGCTATGTGCTACGCGGCTATGTTTCGCCCTCTGCACGTCTCGGAGCCTGCAGCGGCCGCACAGTCACCCGAAATGAAGCTCCGTCCGTTGTAACGGCAGTCGCCCTGCAACCCATGATGACAACCACCGACCTGAGCACAGGCTCCCCATCCTGTGGCCAACGGCAGTGACTTGCGCCAAGCAACGCCGGACCGCCGCCAGCTTCTTGGACAACTTTCTGCACTGCCCTTCGCAGATCCTCTTCGGACCAGCAACTCCGTGAAGCACCCAGGCGCTTCACCTTTCGAGCTTCGGAAGCCAACAAAAATCCCGTGCGTCGACGGAAGGCCGAGGCTGGCACTAATTTCTCCGGGAATGCTCTGGCTGTCATTTCACCGCCTCCAAAGACGCCCAGCATGGCTGCAGGTCTGTCGACGTGCGACAGCTCCGTCTTCCTTGACTGGCTCACGATTTTGACAATTGACACCCCCACGAAGGAAAGTTTGCCCAGAACTTGGCTTCTTCATAGCCTTCTTCTCGCTCAAGTCGTCTGGTCGGTAATGCGTGTGAGGCGCAAGGCGGAGGCCACGCGGTGCAGATCGGGAATCACCACGGTTTTCGGCACCGGCTTCGCTCCGGTCGCTCCAGCCGCCCCAGTCGCCTCTCGGGCCGGCTCCGCATGAAATGCGGAGAAAGTCCCTGCTTTTTTGGGCCTCGGAGCTGGTTGCCGCTCCGCCTCCGAAGGCGAGCGGAAGGATTTGGCCTTCGTAGAGCTCCTCCCAGGCGGGCTTTGTCGAGCCCCCAAACCCCCGAGCATGAGCGGTCCTTGTGTTCACCGCTTTCTTCATCAAACCACAGCAGCTGCCTCGTGCTCCGCACCCAGAAGATTTTGTCCTCAGCTTCGACAAACAAAGCATTTCTCTCATGCCGCTACGCTCTTTCACGGCTCTCGTGCTGGCAAGTCTCTGCTCGATTGTAATACCAACCGGCCTTGTCCGTTTCTTCGAAGCCGGGTGGCACTGCATCTCCAGCACCCTGAGACTCAGTGTTCGTGCAGTCGGTACAGCAGAGAATATTTAGGATCGGCCTGTTTCGCAAAGAGCTCAGGGTTATTGGCCTTGAGCTTCCACAGATCTTTACCACCTCACCCATCGACTTTTCACACAGCGTTTGGCCCTTGAACGTTCGTGCATGTGACCAGATTTGAACCCAGGAGGCTGTTGCCGCTGGTATACCAAATATTCGCACTGCTTACACCAGCTTGCCGTTCCTGCTTCGCGGTGAGAACCGCTGAAAACCTCTCAAAGCTGAAGAAGCAAGATTTGGAGCATGCTTGCGGCTGATCAAACGAAATGCTGGGGTCAAGACTTGTTCGCCATGGGAAAGACTTGCGGATGCAAGTCGCTACAGCACGAAGTATCAGCAGGTCGGATAACTGGTTGTGCTGGTGTGTGAATGCTGTGCAGGTTGAGTAGGTGTCCGAACAACAATCGCAAACCGAGTGAATACCAGCAACTGCTCCGACACTGACTCAAGCTTGACAATTCATGCTGCCGGCGTTCGGCGTGCTCCATCATGCCGCAGCAGCAGGCTCAATGAGAAAGGCATCTATCTCACATCGACAAATCCAACCTGCCCTCACGAAAACATTCTTTCCAAATGAGGTTGTCGATTTCCACCGAGGGTTCCGGGTCTCAGCATTTGCGGGTTCAGTTTTCTCTGGCTAAGTCTGCTAAGTCTCCTGCACATGTTCTCCCCGATGCCTGTGAAGAGAGGTAATGACACGGATTTTCCGACTGCGAGCTTTCGGCCGTGGCTGATCACCTACTGCCAGTTCCGTCCGTGCAGCCAGCACATCCTGTGCAGTACAAACAACCAGAGACCACTCATGTTCTAGTATCCGCTTCAGCGGCATCCGGCATGAGCCAGATCGTACAAGCAGGCCACGGATGAGTTCTTCTGGACCCGGGGACATGGACCCCTTGGGTATGTGGAAATCCACATCACAGATTCTGTCCATCAAATCTTTCTTGGATCCAAGGAACGGCGCGTGGGACAGGAGCATCTCGTACAGAAGTACCCCGAGAGCCCACAGGTCTACAGCTTCGTCATGCGGTTCACCGCATAGCATCTCTGGCGAAACGTACTCCAGTGTCCCACAAAAAGTAAGCCTTGGGCCATCCGTGAGCTCGACGCACCATCCGAAATCGCCCACTTTGGCAAGCAGCTCGTCACCAAAAAGAAGAATGTTTTCCTGGGATTGGTATCAAGCACTGGAAAGAGAAACGAATGAAAAAGAGGATTAGGAGGGTTCTTTGGCAGCCCGGCAGCAGGCTTCAGATCCCTGTGTGCAATGCGAAGGGAATGCAGGTAGTCGATGCCTCTGGCGGTGTCGAAGAAGAACGACGCAGCTCTCGGCTCCGGAAGCGGGCGTTTTTCGGCCTTTAAATATGCAAAGAGCTGTCCTTGGTCTGCAAACTCCAAAAGGCAGTAAATCCTCGCCGCGTCTTCGAAGTAGTAATGCAGTCGAACAAGATTCTTGTGCTTGACCTTCAATTGTGTCAGCACCTCCCGCTTCACTTGCTCCCCCATGTCCTTCTCTATGACGCGCGCCTTCTCAATAGTCTTCATGGCGTAAACTCCGCCATTTGTGGAATTAACGCACTTCTGCACTACCCCAAACGAGCCGGCTCCCAGTTGGCACATGGGAGAGAACTGAGACAACAAATACTCGCACTCGGACTCATCCACCGAACGCTCCAACTGGCTTTCCGGGTGCTCTGCCCCAGGGTCTGCGCCGAATGACATCCCATCGGTAAGAACGGACTCCTGTGACTCACGAACCACGGCACAGCCCACGTCACATTACACACAAGGCTTCTACCCCAATGTTCTGCAGAGGCGCAGTTGCTGCAGTTTTTGTGAATGCGTGCGTCTCGCAGCATTGTGCTCTTTGCATGAACTAAGCCAAGGCTATTTGTCGCAACGGCCGCGATCTGTGCAGGAGCTTTCCACCCTACCTGCCAATGTCTTCACGCAAGAACGTCCTGTCATTTCGCGAGCTCATGCAGCGCTCACAACGAAAGCAAAAGGAACCTGACTCCAACTGAAGCGCTTAGTTTGATGGCGCGGGTGTTTCCACCATGGCAGGCCAGATCAGTGCTTCTTGCACAGAGGAAACGCCAGATCAGTGTGCACAGGCATGGCTGCAGCGTGCAGCAGCTTTCATAAGCAATCCTCCGAGGCCTCGATAGCTCAACCTCTTCAAAGCAAGGGAGACCTCTCCACTCTGAGCCTCTGCCTTTGCACAGCTTGCATGAATTTGAAACTTTGGGAAGGAACAGTGTCAAGCACAGTTCGGCTGCACAGTCCGTTTTTTCATGTTTCCTCAATCATTTGACGTGCTGCACAGTTTACTCCGGCAATCAATTCCCGAGCCTTCAGGTTGAAGTTTTGGAGTCGTGCATGTCTTGTGCTAGACACCTCTTCAAGATGTCGTATGCGTATCCGAATTCAACCACGATGGTCTTTTTCAGAGACAATCAGAGGCGGCTCAAATGAGGAGGCGTTCTGAAGCAAAGCAGTGCATCAGCTGGATCACTTCGTGATGGAGCTGTTCTGCACTCGACATTCAAGAAAGCCATGAACGTGCACACATGCACAGCAGCAGGAGCAGTAAATCATGGCAAGCAAACTCGCACAATCTGTTGGGTCTGCACAACCAGGTCGCATCTAAACTCGAACTTGAACCTTCATCAGCCTGCATTTCTTGGCGTAGATTTTACTGTTTCCCTCGCTTGACGCTTCGGCACTTCGCACTCTACATTCGCTTTACGCAGCCATCCGAACAAACACCAACGGAATCCTGCATCAACCATTCAGGTCACTTGATTCACTGTCACTGCTGTGTGAACTGCAGTGCCGGAGGCCAGTTCCAGGAATTGTTAACGACCGGGCAGTTTGCCTCACCTTCATCCCCACGCCCGGAAACCTGAGGCGGCACAACATGACTGCGATCTCCGGCCGCTTCAAAACCTCGACTGCTCGGCCAACAAAACAACGGCATCCCTAAAGGGATAGGTTCACGAACCACTGTGTGCCGTTGGCATGCCATCGCATCTGGGGCTCAAGCGCAGAGTGAGGAACTGATTTTCCAGCTGCCTCAGTTTAGGCTACCCGCAAGTGCCGAAGTCTGTCTCGCACACATCGAGAAAGATGGAATGAAATGCCTGCAGCTGGGCGTTTCAGCTTCAATACAACGATCTTCTGGTGTCTGCATTGTGCTATTCTGAAGCTGAATGTGAGGCGAAGCTGCATGCGGCAGCTCTCAAAGTTTCTGGTGGTGTCATTTATGGCAGCAAGGCGAAAAAGCACCCTGTCGATGACACTGCCGCTAGACGATGGAACCCTTGCAAAGCAAATCCTAGCGCGGTGACTGCAGAGGCGACACAGCTTAAGGTCGACTGGGTCCGAAAATCTGTCAAAACGGTGGCTGTTGTCGCTCAGAGGGGATGTGTTTCTTTCGACCCTCAACCATGTGCTGGTC